AAAGAGTATTTTCAAATGTGTGCCAGTTCAGTTTATAGGCGGGGGAAAAGATTAGGGGCTAAATTTTTGGAAGCATCCTTCAAACCTAAATTACAAAGCTTTGTTGTTGTGGTGTTTGTGCTTGCAAGTCTGTTCTGACACTTTATAAAAGTGCTGACACATAAACCCCTGTTTGTGTGCTCGAATCTCTAAAGGCTTTGAGCTCACAATTTTTGATGCAAATTTGGACCAGGGTGTCCCACCCAAAAAACCCCAAGCTACTCTTGTCCACACACCCCCCAAAAAATCCAAACCATGGAAGCTGAAGCTGCCAAGAATTTAGCCCCGGCTTTTGAGCCTGTAGGAGCTATGCATGCTGTTTGGTAAATGAGCTTGCAATTGGCCTGTGAAACATCATTCACCCAGCATTGCTTTGATCTTTGAATAAGCCACATTGATCACTACACGTTTCCTCCTTCCAGTTCCTGTTCCAGCAGCTGGGGATGTTGGTGTCTTTCGTGCGAAGTCATATTCGGCCCTATATGGATGAGATTGTCACCCTGATGAGAGTGAGTACAGTCTTGAAGCCAACTGTCAGAAGAGGTAGATAATGTTTCTGGCATTATCAAATATATCGATTACTTCATAAATTCCTATGAAGTGCAGAATTCCATGCATTGGAAGGAACAATTGTATTTTGAAATAAGGTGTATTTGAAACAATAATATACATTTATTACACTAACTGCAGCAAGAGTAGCTCCTAGGTTCTGCTGGTGCCTGAGTTCTTCTGAGCACTTGGATTCTGTGCACATATTACTTTCAGAAACATAGTTTTGAGTGAGAGGTGCTTGAAGTTCATAAATAGGTGGCATTTCATTTCATTTTCACTTACTGTTTGCAAACACAAGTATTAGGAAAAATCAGTTGCCTGGAGGTTGTTTTTAACAGCTAGAAATATACTGAAGGCACAGAGCAGTTTAAAAACAGACCAAAAGTGCCAATTAGGGAAGTATAGTCCATGCCTGCAATCCTGAATCTAGAGGCTTGTCTCCTGCAGTTTGCCTTTCTTCTAATTGGTACAGCTCAGTCAGGAACTGATTAATTTTTTTCCCTTTTTTTCTGTTTTTCTTTTGTAGGACTTCTGGGTCATGAACAACTCCATACAGAGCACCATTATCCTGCTTATCGAGCAAATTGTGGTAGCTCTGGGAGGTGAATTCAAGCTTTATCTGCCTCAGCTCATTCCTCACATGTTACGGGTCTTCATGCATGACAATAGCCAGAGTCGCATTGTCTCTGTCAAGGTGAGCAGGAAGCTGCAGCAGCTGGGTTGAGTTGGGGATCTCTTTCATCATTTTGAGTCACACTGGGTCACTTTTCCTTCCAGCTGTTGAATGCGATCCAGCTCTTTGGAGCTAACCTGGATGACTACCTTCATTTGTTACTACCTCCCATTGTAAAGCTCTTTGATGCCCCTGATGTCCCAGTGGTGGCTCGCAAGTAAGTGGTGGTGGCTTTGCAGTCTCTTTTCTTGCCTGTGATGTCCAAGTTCTGCAGTGCCTGCCCTTGACACATGTAGAATGAAATACCACTCTATTCCTTCCATGGGTTTTCTCCGCGTTAGATCGTTTTGAGAGGTTATGTCTGGTTGGATGTCACAGCACAGTTACTAGATTTTTTTGGCTATAGACTTATAACTTTCTGGTTCTCACCTGCCTATATTTTCTGCAAGCTGTCCTGCAAATAATAGCTGCATTAACAGAGTTCTGGTGACCTTTAACTACTACTATTGATGCCTTGGAGGCGCGAGCATGAATAGTTGATGTATTTTTACATCTCGATTCTCCTGTCTTATACCATGGGGTCTTCCTCCCTTCTTTCTGCTCTGACTTTAGAGCTGCTCTGGAAACAGTGGACCGCCTGACCGAGTCCCTGGATTTCACTGATTATGCTTCAAGGATTATTCATCCCATCGTGCGAACGCTAGACCAGAGCCCTGAGCTACGAACCACTGCCATGGACACCCTCTCCTCCCTGGTGTTCCAGCTGGGAAAGAAGGTAACAGTCTTCTTAGGCTTGAAAGCTCATAGAAGGATAGACTGTCCCAAAGATCAAGGCTTG